AATCCCAACACTTCAAAGGTGAGGCAGGAGGATCATAAATTCCAGCCAGACTGGGCTGCATAGGGAGTTCCAGGCCAGCTGGGGCTACTTATCCATGCCCTGCCCCAAGAACATTGAGAGATGCTAGTAGACAGAAGGCAGAAAGACCAAGAGAAGTAGGAGAACAGGAGTATTTGCTACATTAAGGGTGTTGGGCTTAATACTTTGCTTTTAAGCAGCTTTCAAATTATGTATTTCACAGTACCATGGGCAGGCATTCCTGAGTTGTTTCTCTTGGATTAGATTCAAGCTCTGAACAGTTTCTAGGCCAGAAATGCACACAAAAATGTCTATGGGCATTTAATGTAGAGGGTATCAGAAATTGAAGTCTGGTGGAGTATTATGAGCCAATAAAGCATCATAATATAATAAAGCGTAGTGTGGAAAAAAACCCCTCTAAGTCTCTTTGAATGGGCTTTTATTAGTCTGTGTGCTGTGCACGCTTTATTTCTCTTAAATTCTTTTAGTATTTGATTTCTAAAAACATGAGAAGAGGATATTTAGTTATTGCGTTCACTGTTGCATAGCTCACTCAGCTTCTCTGAGGCCTGAAGTCTGGACTTTGAGGTGGAGATGGTTTCGGGATTGCTGTTGCAATTCGGATCCCGCATTCCGGACGTCCCTGACCAGAGCCAGAACCTTCAGTTCAGCTGTGGATATGCCCATGTCATTTATCGGCTCATTCTCCCCAAATGCAACACAGCTCATCGTTAATTTTGTGGCTTCATCTTCGAAAACTATAAATTGAACATTCTTACTGTCCTAATTTTCTGTAACCTTTAACAACATTTATGAATGCACATGGGAGAGATGAGACTGCTATTGGCTGTACGGCAAGTGCGTCCTAGGGATGTTTGATAGGAGTGGCCCTTCACCCTGAAGGTCTCTAAAAAACTGACATGTTTTAGACATCTCAAATTAATTATTTAAATCTAGAAAAACAGGCTCCACCTTTACAGCCAATACCACCCTCAACACACCTGATCCCCTCTGATCATGAAGCCAAGCAAGATCGGGTCTGGTTAGTACTTGGAAGAAATGAGCTGCAAACAGGCAGCACCTTGGACTTTCTGAGGACTCAGAAAGCCTGATCCAGACTTCCCTCCCTGGCCTACACAGGCTCATCTTTTTAAAAGATGATATTCTCCCAAACACCAGCCATACACTTGAGTTTAAACACTCTGAAAGACGAGGACAGATTTGGAAGCCACTTATTCTTGAATGAGTCTTTTAGCTTATGGGGACACTCACTGAGCATGTGGCCATGGCTGGTAAAATCAGCAGGCTGCTTCTTCCTTACAGGGCATAGAAAGGCCACGCTGGGTGTCACCCAATGGGGAGATGCTACGGGTCCCGCAGAGTGCTTTCATATATTGAGGTTGCCAAATAATGGCTCATACAACATGACTGCATTTTACATATGATCATATTATATATTTGTAATATATATATACTATATATATATATATATATATATATATAAATCACTATTTTACTTAACCTT